TGATGAACTCCTTGAATTTGATCTTATCTGAGAAGCACTTTATCTGTCCTTCCATTCTAAATGAAAGTTTTGCTGGATAGAGCAATCTTGGTTGTAGGTCTTTGGATTTCATGACTTGGAATACCTCTTTCCAGCCCCTTCTTGCCTGTAAGGTCTCTTTTGAGAAATCCACTGACAGTGTGATGGGGACCCCTTTGTAGGTGACTGCCCCCTTAGCTCTTGCTGCTTCCAGGCTTCTCTCCTTCATTTTAATCTTGGCTAATGTAATGATGATGTGCCTTGGTGTGTTCCTTCTTGGGTCCAACTTCTTTGGGACTCTCTTAACTTCCTGGATTTCCTGGCAGTCTATTTCTTTTGCCAGATTGTGGAAATTCTCCTTTTTTGTTTGTTCAAATAAGTTTTCCACTGGTGGCTGTTCCTTTCCGCCTTCTGGTACCCCTATAATTCGGATGTTGGAGTGTTTAAAGATGTCCTGGAGGTTCCTAAGACTCCCCTCATTTTTTTGAATTCTTGCTTCTTCACTCTTTTCTGTTTGGCCATTATTTGCTTTCTTCTGGTCCACTCCATTGATTTGAGTCCCAGTTTCCTTTTCATCGCTATTGGTTTCCTGTGCAATTCCATTCATTTCAATTAGTTTCGCCTTCATATGTTTTTGTAATTTGTGGCTATAATCAACCAGTTCTGTGAGGATCCTGATCACCAGTGTTTTAGACTGTGCATCTTAGAGTTTTGCTATTTCTTCATTGCTTAGATTTATAGGCTCTGGGGCTTTGAGATCTTCTTGAGCCATTTTTGGTCTGTTTGTTCCCGTTAAGTATGAGGAGCGGAGCCTTGGACTCCCAGGTTGCTGGGTTTTGACTCTGTATGTGGAGGCGGGGTCAGAGCATGGAAATGGCGGCCCCCCCTGCTCTTTCTCGCAGCTGGGTGATGAGCAGAGCCTTGGGTTGTTCACCGGGGCAGGGCCATTTAGGTCGCTGGATTATGACGCTGTATGTGGAGGCGGGTTTAGAGCAGGGAAATGGTGGCGCCCTCCACTGCCCGTTGCCGGTGTTGCTGCTGGCTCTCGTCCAATCGCCCACTCCCTCGCTCGTCTATCCACACACGAATGCGCGACCACAGTCAACCCGCAGCCGTGCTCCCTCGCTGTTTCCCCACGATTGCTTGCTGAGTTGCCCACCAGGTCCAACCCTGCGCCTGGATTCCACGTGCCTGAGTCCTCTGACCGAGTTTTCCTATGCGACCCGGCTCCACCAGCCGGTGGTTTTGTCCCTTACCGGTCAGGCTGAAGAATTTGTTGTTAACAGACTTCCGAAAAGTTCAATTTTCTGTGTTCTGGCTGTGTTTTCTATTGCTAATATTTAGTTGTCTCTAAACTTGGTTGTGTGAGGAAGCACGGCATCTCCACCTATGCCGTCATCTTGGCGGAAGTCTAACAATCTCGATTTCTTCACTATCCTCTTACTCCTTAACCTGCCACAATCTGGCATACACCCCCAGAGCTTCTTAGACCTAATTACCAAACCCAGGGGGCCCTGGTCCATCTCTGTGTCTATGACATTGATGCTATTTACCACTCTCTCCTTGAAATTCCCATGCTTTTTTACTCATTCCTATAAAATGCTGAGGCCCCAATCTCTTTGTCTAGACCAGGCCTTTCCCCCAAGATTCAGCGTCCTATATTTGAAAGCTCATCAGATGTCTCCCCTTGGATGGCCTAGAGAATTGGGTGTGTCCAAAACAGTCATTGATCATCTTACTGTCCAGTCCAACCCCTAAATCAGGGGTGTCAAACTCATTTTCACTGGAGGCCACATCAGCCTTGTGGTTGCCTTCAAAGGGCTGAGTGTAATTTTAGGACTGTATAAATGCAACTGCCTTTTAACTAGGGGCAAGGAGCTGTGCATTCAGCCCTTTGAAGGCAACTGAGAGGCTGATGTGGCCCCTGGTGAAAATGAGTTTGGCACTCCTGCTCTAAGTGGTCTTCCCCCTCAGCTCCCGCTCTCTCTTGGTGCCGGCACCGCCTACCCTGTCGTGTTGACTCTCAACTGCTTTCCAAACCTGAGATCTTACATTAGTGTCTCCTTCCCCTAGCGTTTCTTTCCCTCTGTCAGACTCAGTTTTTCAAGGGCAAGGACTCTGCATTAGCCATCTGTGCCCCAGCACACCACCCACGACCAGGCTCCAAACACATCTCAGTGAACATTGGCAAACTAAACTATACTCAGCCGTCTTGTTGCCAGCAGTGCTGTCTTTGATGGGAGCTAACTCTGTGCCTTGGAAGTGAAAGAAGGGGTAGGCTGGATGCCAAGACCCTCTTAGTCCCCTGATGCCCCTCATACAGTCAGAAAGTCTTTCTTGAGTCATGATGCTTTTGGGGGCATGGTAGTAGCTTATAAGAGAAAAAGGTAGCCTCGCAGACAAAGCCAGCCGGGGAAAGCCCTGCAGGAAATGGGACTAAACCAGATACTCAAATTTCCAGACATGTGTGCTCCACACTGAAAGTAATGTGGATGGGTTGGAAACTGGGAGGCATTACAGACGAGGCATGGCAGCAATTAGAACTCTGAAAGTAATAAAGGAAGTTTCCAAGGCAGAAGAACACGGCATGTGTATGTTATAGGGGGAGAGTGAAAAGAGCAGTATGGAGGGGTTTGGATAGGTGGCCTTCAAGGTACTTTCCAATCCTGAGAGCCTGCAGAGTGGAAGCTGCTGGTCTTGGAGAAGTCTGGAGCCCAGAGATATCCCAGCCCAAGCATATCAGAGGGATGCCACCCATGCCAGCAGCAACAGCGGCTCGCTTGGAGTACAATTTTTTCGTGCGCAGATCCTGCTTTTCCCAGATGATCAGTGAATCTAGTCCGAATCACCCCATTACACATATTGGGAAAAGGGATGTAGTCGGGTATTATGTTTCAAGTGGATAGCAAGTTCAGCAAGTCAGAGCTGAGGTCAAAATCCAGATATCCTGTCCTTGCTCCTGTGCTCTTTCTACAGTGTTCCACTAGATGGCACTATTGCCAGGAGCTTGTGTTAGGCGCACACACACCAAAAAAACGTGGCTTTTGTTTTCCCCAGAGGAAAAATAAAAGCTAGTACAGGCAATTAAATGTCAGGTGTGCTTGTGTTTTCAGTAGAAGTTATGTCATTTGACACAGCAGTCTTGGAAGACAGAGGAATAATATCCCTATTTGACAGATAAGAGAGAGACTGAGGCTAGGAGGAGCAAATGACTTATCCAGAAGTCACCTGGTTTGTTGATGGTGGGGCGAGGATTTGGGCAAAGGTCTTGCAAATGCAAAATGCACCTTCTTTTCATGAACCTCACCTGTGACCTGACAAACCTGAGGACGGAGGTGCATTTAAGATTCACATCACCCCTGCACCTCAGTGGGCAGACTAGACAGTTCAAGATAGCGTATGGGTAGTAATAAAAAGCAGCGATATGGCATCTTGCCAATATCAAGTGCCTAGGAATATTTATTATTAATCATACTAATGGACCACAGTGAGAGGGAGGAGAGTTTCTCTCTGGCTTTTCCTCTAATAAAGCTGCAAGCTTTTCAAGAGCTTCCCCCAGCTAGCCGATATCAATGCAACTTGAGCCAGTATCCTGTTGGCATAGGAAATTAGCCCCACAGGGAAGGTGCCCCAGTCTGCCAGTAGAGTCCCTAGCCCCCAGCCCTGCTCCCCACAGCCAGTGACCAGAGATCACTCAAATATGGCCAGTGTGCCTATAGGGCACAGAGAGAAAACAGCCCCCTCAGAACATATGACCCCTCCAAGAATGGCCCACAGGTCAAAGTTAACACATCTGGAAGAAACCATGCATCTGTGTGCCCACCCTTCCTCCAGCAGTGAGTAGGTGCCTGCTAGGTGCCTGGTTCTACTCCAGGTTCTGCAGGTCGTGTTCACCCTCTCCCTTTCCAGGGGTCTGTATCTATTGGTGGTTTTGCTGTGAGTGCCATCTGTTGTGTGACCCAGTGTCCTCATCTTTAACTCTCCCTCTGCAGGACTGCTGCCCTCTGCTCATCCAGTGCTGCCCTCTGTCACAGCTTATCTCCCTCCCATCTCCACTGCCCAGGTCTTAGGCTGGCCCTCATGGACTCTCCCTGGTCTCCCTGCCTCCAGGCTGCCACATCCAGGCCACCCTCCACATGGCCGTCCTCCACACGGGCACCATAGGCATCTTCGGAGGTGCACCTTGTACCTGTGCTCAGTCACCCGGTGACCCTTCTGCCCAACACACACACTTCACCTTTGCAGCCTGTTCTTCCTCCCATGGCTCCTGAGCACAGCCCTTCCCCTGGACCAGGCTCGTCTCAGCACACATTCACAGCACAGTGTGCTCACTCTTGTCTCTGCATGCACCAAGACCTCCCTCGATCTCTCCTGCTGTCCTTGTGCTTTCTTCCTCCCCCAGCTCCGGTAGTGCCCGAGGTCCTCGGTGCTCACCTGACATCTTTCCTGCATCCTGCGTTGTCTTGTCAATTGTTGCTTTTTTCCTTTTCGTCCATTCCAGGCTGGGCTGTAGTTGTTCCCAGAGAGGGATCACACTTGTGCTCCACTCAGAAGGAGCCCAGCGTGCATCCAGGCATGTCTTGGAATCTCAGGACAGATTTCTCAGCTGGGCCAGAGAATCTGCCATTCTCGTGTCCAGCTTTGTAGAGTTATTGTCTCACTTGTGTATTTCTGTAGTGTTTCAGTACAGATTAATATGAGCTGTCGTTTATTGCACGGTGAGCACGTGCCAGGTACTGTGCCAGGCGTTCTGTTAGGTGCCATAATTGTCCCCATTTTACTGAGAATGAAAGTGAGCCACAGAGATGAATCCCAGAGCTTGTCTAGGATCCGTGGTCTTGCTGTTGTGTTCCATCTGTTCCACTGAATAGCCTTTCAGAGGCAGGTCTGGAAATTCAGAGACCAAGTTCAAAGTGTGGAGTGGTGGGTATGTTGTGACTTGAGATTATGAATCTTTCCCCCCCATCCCTCCCTTGGGGCAGCATCTTCAAAGCCATGGGGCAGGTCCTGCCAGATGAGGAGCAGAAGAAGCTGCTGCGCATCTGTTCCATCTATACCCAGAATGGTAAAAACAACCTGGTGCAGGAGGGCACAGAGGCCTCCCCCGTTGCAAAGTCTGCGTACACACTAGACAGCCTGTATTGGAGCCTCAAACCAGCTGCCTCCCTCTGCGGGCCTGCAGGAGCAGACCAGCAGCAGGAGGAGAAGGACAGCCTTCACAACGTCAATGAACATGAGGAGGAGGAGAAAGAGGTCATGGAAGACCAGGTAGAAGAGGAGGAAGAGGAGAATGTTGACCAAGGGAAGTGGGAGGAAGAGGAAGATGAAGATGACGAAGACGATGAAGACGAGGAAGAAGATGACAGAATGGAGGTGGGGGTTCTCTCTCTGGTGGAGTCGTCCCCCAGTGCCGAGAGTGCCAGGGTCCTGGCCCAGAAAAGAGAAGCTTTGCAGGGCTCTCCGTGGCAAGTGAGCTCCGGTAAGAAGCTTGATACCAGCTTTCTCCCCACCCATCTGCTCTCTCAGGCTACCTCCTGAGCCATTTTTCCATTCTACAAAAGGATGGAAAGTAGCGGAGAAATGCAAGGTAGCAAGAGGTAGCACATGGGAGGCAAGCCTTGGAGGCAGCCTAGTAATACGCTTGACGGCTGGCTTCCCTGTCCCAGAGCATGTAAGTGCCAGGGACCTGAGCGCTGTCCTGCTGTTGGCTCCTTCGTGCAGAGAGCACATTCAGAGGGGATGGTGTAGGTGTTGGGTCCTGTGCTGCCACACAGAGGAGAAAGAGCGGTAGAGGGTGGGTAGATGTCTCATTCTGCATGTGCTCCTCATGCACAGTGATGCCGGGCACAGAGACAAAGGAGTGCTTTTTGTGTATACGTGTATGTGTATGTACACAAGGAGGCAGAGTGCTGATGAGATAAGATGTTGCTGTATGTCTGAGAAAGGAGGAGCCCAGGGGCATTCAGTCAGAGGAAATGGAAGTGAGATCAGAATAGTGAGAATAGGGAGTGATGTGGTTTTTAGGTGAATGTACAAGTTGGTGAGACGAAGCTGGCAGAGAACAGGGACAGTTGTGTTATAAGAAAGTGGGGGGATGTGAATCTGATCCTCCTGAGGGTGGTCATTTGATTGCCCTCATTTAGATTGGGGAGCAGGAGCCTTAAGGCGGGGAGACTGCAAAGGAACGAACAGTCTGGTGTGCACGCATGGGCACATGTGTATGCACCCACGCTTCAGTTTGGGGCACATGCTGTGTGGTGGAGCCTGAGGGGGTGGTGAAGGAACTGAGGGGAAAGGTGGAGACTTTGGCCTCGAGTGGATGTGTGTAGAAGGGTGGGGGCCTGAAGGCTCTGAGTGCTAAGGGGTGAAGGAAGACATTTACATCTGTGCGTGATCGGGTGTGTGCCTGCACGTGGTAGACAAACCAAGGCACAGTGACAGAAACACCTTAGGGCAAGGAGATCTGTGTTTGTGGGTATTTGTCAATATCGGAAGTGAGCGGGGAGGCATGGGCCCAGGCAGTGTGTGCATGTGTCTGAGAGAAGAAGGGGCTGTGAGAAGAGATCATTGTAAAGTCGTTGCCTGTGCAGCTGGGTATACACACACACGCAGTCACATATGGCGATGAGGTGGGGGTGTCCACGCTGTCCCTAAAGGAGCATGTGTGAGGCTGTCAAGCTACAGAGGTAGGGGCGAGTGATGGAGGGGGGTTGGAGATGTTAGTGGCAGGGAGGAAGGAAGGTCAGGTGAGTGACTTGGGAGCAGGGTCCCTGTGGCCAAAGGTGCCTTTGTGCGCACAGGGCAATGCCAGGTATCAAGACAGGCACCAGTGCCCTCCTATAAAAAAGCCAGGCCTGGGGAAGTAGGCAGGCAGGGAAACAGCCCTTCCTGAGGGGCTTGTACAGGTAACATAAAAAGGTAGTGCTGGGTTGGCACCTCCAGAATGCTAAGGGCATGATACAAGGAGAATTCTTTGCATGCCAGGGAAACACAGAAGGTCAGAAAGTGGATCTACTTGCAGAAGCTCACTATGAAGGCCTTCACTTGAAAACACCAAATGTACTGGTGTAAAGTTGGGATGGATATTTTAGTGTAACAGTGTGTGCACAGTGTTTAAATGCTAGAGCTGAGGGCGGGGGGTGCCTGATGTACTCCACTGTCAGGTCTGGAGTGTCTGTGGTTTGGGAACATGGAAAGGCAAAGACATTAAATCCTTTCTCTGCGCCCTTTGCTGTTGCTTCCTCTTTGCGCCTACACTTGTGGGGATGCAGTGATGTTGAGACGTCTGGGTTTTGTGCCTGTGAATGAGACATGTAGGCAGCAGGGTGTGAAATGGAACGTTCGTTGAATGGAGGACTTGGTCTTCGTGTTTGTGGTACTTAGGTGGCCATGGGAGCTGGGGCATGCAGTGACATGGCCCCTCCCCAGAGAAGGGATGTTTGAGTGTGCAGCTGGGGGTAGGGGGACCATACTGTGTCCGAGAGGGAGTTCATGCTCAGCCGGTGTGTCAGTCTCACAAGCCAAGGCTATTAAGAAGTGGCGTGGCCTTCAAACACGTCAGGGAGTTCACATGCACATCTGCAGTGCCTTCTCCACAGGCATGTATGGGATGCGGAACCCATATGTCTTTGCTTTGATGTCTTTGTATGTGTCATCCCATAAGAACTCTGAAGATGACCAGTCTAACAGTGATCTGAGAGTCCACAGTGGGGAAGAACCGCAGCTCACCCCTACTATCACCCACGTGGACGGACCCACCAAGATCTACAAGTTGAGCCACAAGGAAGCCCAGGAGTAGATGGGTGCAGCACCTCGCTGGGACTGTGCCCCATATCCCGGCCTTGCTAACTAGAGTGAGGAGCATGCCAGAGAGAGCTCACTGTGCAAACAGATGCTTGACTGCTCATGTTTCTTAGCTGTGGTTTCTGGGCTCAGTGGCATGGATGTTGTCACTTTGCCTTCTGACCATAGTTCTTAGAGGAAAGATTCCTGTAGCCACTAATGCATTGGATATGATAACAAAACCTCTAGTGTGACACATTTACTGTGGTATGGCACACATACTCTGAGGTGTCTGTGCATTTGGAGAGGAGGTGACGTGGGAATTTGGGGCACGTAGACTTTCTAGGATATATGTGCGTGTGGAAATTGGTAAGGGTGAGGAGTTTACGTAGTGACACACCCAGGCCTGAAGATGTTGTCTGTGTTGGTGCAAAGACAAGTGTGCAGACGTGGGAGAAGAGTAGAGGGGAACAAAAGTGTCTGTAGTTCTGTGCTCGGCGTGCAGGTGCTGAGGGTGAATGGGGTGTAAGTGTGAATGCACAGAGGAAAAAGGGCCTTAAAGGCTGTATGGGGGTGTGGCAGGGGTGGAGAGGGTACTTAGCTGGGAGAGGAGCACGGGAAAAGTGTTGCAGAGAGGAATGAGGCTGGACATGCAGAGCCTGTGCCGAGTGCGCTCAGTGACGTGGTGGGTAGACCGAGGAGGCAGGCCCGTGCACCGGTGTGAGAACTCACTAACCAACCCTGTCTCACTTGCTCTGCTCTACAGAAGACGTGCGGTGGGCCAACTTCCCCTTAGGCCTCATGCCGGGTCAGACTGAGGACCCAGCAGAGCTCATGGTGGAGAATTATGAGACCATGTATCTTTTGGACCAGCCTGTGCTAGAGCAGCGGCTGGAACCTCCAACATGCAAGATGGGGTGAGTGCCCACAGCAGCAGGATTTCTCAACCCTTTCTCTACCTCTTGCGGAGGGAGGACAGGAGGGATGGACAGAATACAAAGTAGGGTGGGTGGGGGACACAGCTTTCCCCAGTCAAGGCCGAAATGAGTGAAGTGTAAGTTCCAGTCCCAGGCTGGGCCTTTGCAGCGGCTCCCCCCAGCCACTACTGGGGGCAGCCCTCAAGGCAGCCACATAGAACTGGCTTGGCATCCAGTGTTTGTGCATGTGTGAGTGTGTGTATGTGCATTCTAGGAGGAGAGAGTTCCATAGCTTTCAACAGGTTCTCTGAAGGGTCCGCCACTCCCAAAAGGTCAAGAGGGAAGGGATTTGTCCAAAGGCCTGGAGCACATAATCAGTGGGCCTCCCCACACTGTCTGGACATCTTGTAGCAAGGCCTGCACACAGCTCCACTCTCCCCTGTGTAACTCACCTTTGTGTCACAGGCCTGGGAGCTCTGGGGTCATCAGAGAGATAGGAACCAGGTAGCCCCTGCTGAGAGGCGCTGGACATTCAGGGAGAGGGCTGTATAACTGAGAGGCCAGCGGCCAGCCAGGCCCAAGGCAGTGCCATGAACTGGCTGTCCAAGGCTGGGACACAGCAGGCCTCTCAGAGATGGGAAGGGAGGAGGCAGCTGGAGAGGCCAGGTGGTGTGTAGTTGTATGTGGGTCCCACACATCAGCTCCTGTCCCCTTGATGACACTGGCTCGATGAACCCCCCCCCCCCACCCCCAGGTATCAAGGGTGAATGAAGTGTGGGTTGGTGGAACTAATTCCAGAATGAAGCTAAGTTCGCCCAGCTCCTGCACCTCACCCCTGACTTTGGCTTTCTGCCTTGGGCAAGTCCCTTTTCATGTCTGAGCCCTGAGGTCCCTGGGCTGTAAATTGGTGGGTAATGGGAGGGGATGGGACTGTATCACCCATAAAGGTTTTTTCAGAAGCTGTAGTGTAAGCATAGGCCTGCCCGAGGGGAGCTTTGCTCTGAGCTGTCATCCTCATCTACCTGGAAGGTCCTTTGACCCACGGAAAGCGGGGAGGGGGGGCAACAACATTCTGAGCAGGGCCAGGGACATGGTGGGCACAGAGTCTCCCTAGAGCAAAGTTGAAATCCTGGCTGGGAAGCTGGGCGTTGTCCTGCCGCCCACACCTGGCCTCGGGGCTCCTTCACCAGCTCTGGGGAGTGGGAGGGATCCAGCCTGGGATTCTTCTGGGTTCTTAGAAGAAGGCCTGTTAAGGCAGCCACTGTCAGTGTCTTCCTGTGGGCGGGGTCGTGTAGGACCCCTCTGTCTCTCAACCAAGATCTAGTTTACATATCGGGGCTCTGCATAAAGTTTAACTTGAAAAGTTCTGTTTCTCTCCTTCCTCACCGGGAAGGGGAGGGCAGAGCCCTCGCTGGAGGCCATCTGAAGTGGTTTCTCAGATTTGCTCTAATCTCTTCTTTGTAAGGCCAAGCAGAACGGTGGGTTCTTCCCACAGACACCCAGGCAAGCACTCTTAGCCCTTCCAGAGCCTGCGTCCTTCCCTGACTGCCCCCCCTCTCCATAGCACCCTGGCCCTGACCTGTGGCATCGGCAGTGGCAACTGTAGCAACGGCAGCAACGACCTGGAGGGCCTTCTCTGGAGCCAGGGCCAGCTGCATGGGCTCAAAACTGGTCTGCAGCTCTTCTGATGTCCGCTTTAGTCCCCCCTCCTGTTGTACCTGATGTTCCCCCAAACCTCCCGGGAGCCAACCCTTGTCAGCCACATCAATTCAGTGTTCACCCCAATGTTATTTTGATTGGTTTTGTTTGGTTTTTGTTTGAAATACAATAAACAAGCCATTATTGTTTTTGAAATCATTTGTGTGCTGGGTCACACCCAACATGGTTCTTCATTTATTCTGGGGGCTCCAGAGGAGGTGGAATTATAGTGGAGTCTTGAGCAAGAGCTGGGTCCTGAGGCCCACTGAGCCCGCTGCTCCTGATTGTTTCCATCAGCACCCTCCGTTCATTGCTTCTTCCTTACTGAAACCACGTTTGCTCGCCTCACCTGTTAGTTTGGGGCCAGCTCACCGGAAAGCATGAAGCCCCAGAAGAGAGCACTGCTAGACACACAGCCCAGCCAGCAGCAGGGGAATCTACTCAGAACCTCCCTGGCAGTGGGAATACCCACACCTTTCTGATGCTCCCCAGCAGGCTTCTGACTCATTTCCCTGTCTGCCCTTACTGGCCACCAGACAGCAGTTGAAAGTGAGAGAATCCTTTGTTCGTTCCTTTCCCTCTCCTTTGGCCTAGAAAAAATAGAGTGGACTTCCCTGTGGAGCACACTAAAGCCAGAGCTGCCTTAGCAACTGGCCCAGAGCTCCTCCACGAGCACCCAGTTCCCTTAGATACTTAACGGCGCCTACCCCGTGTCAGCCCTGAGCTGCCAACACACATGGATGAATGAATAATCCATGTTCTCACCCCTCAGAACCCTCTGCCTGGTGAGAAAGGAAAAAGTCACCAATAAGTGTCCTAGGGACCTGTGGTGTGCCACCACAAGCTCTTGGTTTTTCTCAGGGCGGTATTTCCAGGGCGGTGGTTGATCAAGGCCAAATCTGGGTATAGCTTCCCCAGCCCCCACTCTGGGGACAGGAATCAGCTGGGCAAGACAGTGGGCATCTCTGTGGGGCCAAGTTTGGACCCTGAGGAGTGGAGCAAAGGACAGAACCAGGCAACATTGCAGCCAGGAAGCTGGCCCAAGAAATGGCTGAGCCAAGGAATGACAGAAAGGGCTTTTGCCAGGGGTGTCAAACTCATTTTCACCAGGGGCCACATGAACCTCGTGGTTGCCTTCAAAGGGCCAAACGTAACTTTAGGGCTGTATAACTACTCCTTAACTGGTACATGAGAGCTTGGCGCTGCCGCCAGGGAGAAACAAGGTGGAGGGCCAGATTCGGCCCATGGGCCTTATGTTTGCCACCTCTGGCCTATGCTGTGAAAACACCAAGAAAGAATTTAGTAGAAATGGTATTGCCAGAGCTCACGGTCAAGGGTTTTAACTTGAGTTAGGACCTCTGGGGAGTCCCTGATACCTTTTAATGGATATCCTGAACATCTTTGTAAGTATGCATCTATAATCATTTTTCTAGAGATGGAACCCACAGATCGGGTCCACTTGTGAAAGGGGGCCAGGATCCCAGCAGTCTCCTACACAGATTAAAGTCATTGTTTGTCCAACTCTTCCCTGTCCTGCTGGAATGACAAATGCTGTGTTATTGTGTCCTGAAATGTCAGAGCGAAAGGAGTCCTCAAAGAAAATCTGCACCACATCTAGTCAAGAGGTTTGCGGAAGTACTCTGGGAGATAGCTTGGCACCTGCTCCAATGCAAGATGGGTGCTGCAAGCTCTTCTCAGTTTCCTTCTGCCACTTTTCCAGAGCAGCCTGCATTTTCTCTGTTGAATCCTACATAGGATTTTTCAATTTCTTGCTAAGTTGGTTTTTCTGCTAAAAAGTTTGGAAATCCACCCTGGCTGGAGTGGCTCCGTGGATTGAGTGCTGGCCTGGGAACCAAAGGGTCACCAGTTCAATTCCCAATCAGGGCTACAGGGTTATGGGTTACAGGTCAGGTCCCCAGTGGGAGCCATGTGAGAGGCAACCACACATGGATGTTTCTCTAACTCTTTCTCCTTCCCTTCCCCTCTAAAAATAAATAAAATATTTTTTTAAGTTTGGAAATCCTAGTTTAAACCTAGCTGCCTCATTTCAGGCATTGAAACACTCAGGCCTATCAAAAGGGAAGGGATTAGCCTAAGGACACAGAACAAGTTAATAGCTTCATGTGGATCCACATTTCTCACAAAAGCAGCACCACCTGGGCATTTGGTAGAATTGCAAATGTTGGACCTCACTCCTGACTTGAATCAGGTTAAGAGTGGGCAGCAAATTGTTTAACAAGCCCTTCAAGTGACATCCATCAGTCACATTTGAGATGCACTGGCATAGAGGAGAAAGCTAACCAGAGACCCACTCCCAGAAAGCTCCTGCCCTGAACAAGAGCAACCTTGGGCAAATCATGGCTGTTTCTTCCTTTGTAGAAGGAGGATATTTGCTTCATAGGCTTAGAAGCATCAAACATGATAACATGGGGAAGTGCTCTGTAAAGCATATCATGCTTTGCGCATATAAGTAATGTGAATTCCTGCTGGAGTTGGCCTTGTTCTCAGGATTCAGGTGTCCACAAACCTTGGACAGAGGGCTTTCCCCGGTCCACAGAAACTGAAAAATAAGGAGCATGATCTCTGAGCTCATTTGTACTCCAGGTCCAGGGACGGTAAGAGGCAAAGGTCACTGATGGCCGGAAGCATCCTGAAACATGGGTTTTGTGGGGCCAAGTTCCTGGGGGGCTCCTTCAGGTGGTGGTTGGGATGAGGGAGGGGTTCGGAGGAGGACTGGGTAGGAAGCAGCCCCAGTCCAATGCCCTTGGATCTTTTCCTTCTGACTGGAGATCAGAGACTGATTAGAAAAAGTCAGCTGCACGCATTTAATTGGGAACAGGGTTGGGAGTCAAAGGCAGGGAGCACAGATGATACTATTATTCAACAATAATTGAGAGTCACCCCTTCATGATTCCTGCCCCAAAGGAACTCCAGCTTTGTGGGGAAGTCTGCTGTGTCAACGTAATTATAACAGTATGACAAGCACTTAAACAGAGGTACTGTTCAAGACGCCTGCAACGCCCACTAGGTGGGAGGCGACTAACAATGTCTGGACCAGGAGGTGGGACGGCTTAATCGAGCAGGTGACCTTAGCAATGTGTCTTCAGAGTGAATACTTGTCACAACAAGGACTAGAAGGAAGGTAAAAGTCTGGAGGGGATAAGAAAGAGCAGGGCACATTGGGGTACCTGCAAAGGGTCCAGGATGATTAGAATATGGCTCATGTGAAGGAAATATAGGTTCCGAGGACAGAGAGGTAATGTAAGCTAGAGAGGATATGGTTGGATGAGTTGAGTTTCCACCCACAATTAGGGAGAGGTGTTGAAAGTTGAATTGTCCCTCCTTGGAATTCTCTTTTTATCACTTCCCCTACCCTCATGCTGCCCCTGCCCTCCTTTGTAAATGAATTAAATATATCAGGGCAGGGGTGTCAAACTCATTTTCACCAGAGGCCACCTCAGCCTCGCAGTTGCCTTCAAAGGGCCGAATGTAATGTTAGGGCTGGATAAATGTAACTACTCCTGAACAGTGAAGCGACAGCTTGGTGCTGCCGCAGGGTAGAAACAGGGTTCTGGGCAGATAAAACAAGGTGGAGGGCCAGATTCAATCCTCAGGCCTTCCTTATGTTTGCCACCTGTGTATTAGGGTAACAGTGGTTAATAACATTATAAAGTTTCAGGTGTAGAATTCTATAGTTCGGAGAGGTGATTTTTTTTTTTAGCTCATACCTAGAGTTTTATTTTTATTTTTTTATTTAATAATTATATTGTATCTTTTCATTACCATTTATCCCCCTTATACTTCCCTCCCTATCAAGGAAAGTCTTAATTTATTAATTCATTCTCTAAGTGTACTTCATTCCTTCACTACAGTGCCAGTTCCAGGAGACAGGAACTGTTTCCTCCTCTTCAGTCTCTCGCTAGGCCAGTGTAGGCCAAGACCCTATTTTGTACTGAGTAGGAACCTGACAGAAGTTTTGCCCGAGAAAAGTGTGGGAAGGCAGCAAGTGGAAAGACAGAGGAAGAAGATGAAGAGACAGGAGCACTCTTAGTCTGAAGACAGATGATGAAAGAAAAAAAAGAGCCCCAGCTAGTGTGCCTCAGTGGGTTGAGTGCCAGCCTGCGAACCAAAAGGTCACTGGTTCAATGCCCAGTCAGGGCACATGCCTGGCTTGTGGGTGTGGTGTTTGAGAGGGAACAGATCACTGGTTCTCCTGCACACCGGTGTTTCTCTCCCTCTTTCTTTCTCCCTCCCTTCTCTAAAAACAAACAAACAAACAAACAAATAAAATCTTAAAGAGAGATTCTCAGATTCATGAACAGCCCCCAAAGGGTGCCTAGGCTGGGCTCCCCCACAGCCACTGTGACCACCTCTGCCCTTACAATGAGACTGGCCTGGAATGGCAGGGTGGGGCAAGTAGGAGCCTCCAGACAGGCCCGAGGGAAAAGCAGACAGCACTGTCATAAAGGGCTCACCCGCCTGGAGCAATGAGGCCAGGGTTTCCTTCCTGGCCTTGCTGCTAACTCCCTGTTCAGCTTTGGATTCTCAGTTCCCACACCTATAACCTGATGGAGCTGATGATGGAGTTGATGCAGCTGAGTACTCCCTGAGTGACTTCTCTGTGAAGTGCAGGGTGTCAAGCCACTTCTAGCTCAGATATTCTGGCTAAGGCCCAACTGATGACGCCTCTGTGAGTCTGAAGCTATCCAGGGGATAAAGTATAGGTTTACGGGAATAAACCTGAGATCTGAGCTCTCCGCCTGGTTCTGGCCAGTGGACACCTGGCCCTGAGCAACCCCATGGGAAACACCAGTGGACCAGCATTTAGAGCCATGTCAGTGTACAAAGACTGGAGTGCATATGCCTACCATGATAAAATTCAGGTGAACTCATTTCGGGAGGTCCCCCTCTTATAGCTTGTGTCAAGATGCAAGTCCCAAGTACAGAAATGCACTTTTTTTCAGGAGCAAACTGGTGTGTATGTGCTATGGTGTTTGGAGATGTTACTCTTAGAGAAGCAGAGCCATTTGTAGTTAATAGACAAATAGTTTATTCAGTAGATAAGTGTGATACAGTTCATTGTTGTAAATGATACAGCATTTCCATCACTATTATAGGTGAAGCAAATTAAAACCTCATGAAGTAG